AACTTGAGATTTATCAATTTTAGCGTCTCGGAGAACTTTCTCAACCGGTTCCATGGTAGATTGGAACAAATCTTGATTTAGTTCTTCAAATCGAGCACGAGTTAAGGAAGTGTAAAAGTCGATACCCTCGAAAAGTGAATCTATTTCTATTGAAGTTTGAGATGATGCAGATAAAGCACGCTTTGCACGTTCACAAACAGTTCGTAGACGACGTAAAGCTCGAGCATTTTTAGTAAGATCCTTCTTGAATTTTCGCTTAAATTGATGAACAAAGTGATTAACAAGACGATTGTCAAAGTCTTCACCACCAAGGTGTCCATCACCTGCAATAGCTTTGACTTCGAATATTTGCTCTTCAATGTTTAAAAGAGACACATTAAAAAGACCGCCACCTAAATCAAAAATCAACACATTTCGTTTACCAGTAGTCTTCTTATCTAAACCGTAAGCGATAGCCGCGGCCGTAGATTCGTTAATGATACGGAGAACATTTAATCCAGCAATCGTACCAGCATCTTTCGTGGCTTGACGTTGTGAATTATTGAAACATGCAGGAACTGTAATAACTGCATTTGTAACTTTTGTACCAAGAAATGCTTTGGCAGTCTCCTTCATCTTAGCCAAAACCATAGACGAAATTTCTTCAGGTGTAAATTGTTTAGTTACATTTTTAAATTCGACTTGGATATATGGTTTACCGTTCTTTTCAATAATATTAAATGGCCAATGCTAATTAAAATATAGACATATCATAAAAAAAAAAAAAAAAAATTTAATCTATGTTATTAACAACGAAATAAACGTGTATAAATACCTTTACAAAAAATTATTAAAATTTAGCTTCCTAAAAATTTGCCTTTTAACTTCGTTGATAAAGTACTATTAAATGCAATTTTTTGCAAATATAAATACTTTTTCTAGTATTTATTCTTATAATTTAATTTTATAAATGTAGTCGCAAATTTTTATGCCAATAAAATGCTAACATTGTCAATATATTAGCAATACTTTAGTAATAAACAATGTAGTTGCAAATTTTATGCCAATAAAATGCTAACATTGTTAATATATTGCAATACTTTAGTAATAATAAAAGCTATTATTTTATTGGGTACTTAAAGGCACCAATAATGAAATAATTTTGTAATAAACTATCAAAATCGATAGCTTAGTATTAATAATGCGCTCTATCTTGCTTACTA